CTTTCGCCTTCGGTAGTTTACTTACTTTTTTTTTTTTTTTTATTAATGGTAAAGGCTTCAGTTACAGGATTATTAGCCTAGAAGTTAATGTACAATAAATTTAGGAATTAGAATAACATGATATTTATAGTTTATGGCTTATATTTACATTGTGAAAAAATTTGATGATGTAGTGGTGTTTTCTTCTTTGAATGCTTGGTGAAGTGTGAGAGGATTGTTGAGTTTCTTTCGTGCTTCTCTATATTTTGGGCAGTTGATGATTATGTGTTCTATCGATAATATTTGCATAGATTCTTGGCATAGGGGTTTGAGATTGATGAGAGGGCGCTCATAGAGTTACTGATAATGATGCTGTTGCTTTCGGTATTTGAAGATGTGATGATTTTTAGGGCTGAGTAGATAGCATAAGTTTCCGCTGTATATATGCTAGAAGAGGGCGGTAGTTGAAAAAGGTGATTTTCCTGTTTTGTGATTACTGAGAAACCCACGCCATTTATATTTTTAGAGGCATCAGTGTATAATTGCGTATATTCCGGAAATTGTTGAGATATTATTTCATTGAAATAACTGCGTATAATTGAGCTGTCAAGACTGTGTTTGCAGTATTCTGTCAGTTGAGTGTTGATGGAAGGCGACCAGAGCCAAGGAGGTAGAGAAGGCCTGATTTTACTTACTTTATATCTAGTGTTTCCCAGACTCGATAATGTGGATTTATACAATATAGGTTTGACATTTAGTATATTCTTAATTCAAAACCTTCCAACAGTTAATTACTTATAAAAATATATTTAAGTTTCTTCATAGATTCACCATGTGTTCAAACCGAATAACAGTTCAATTTGTTAACGTGGTTTAATGTTTTTCGGCAAAAATTGAAAAGATATGATTTTTATGAACGATGTATCATACTTATGTTAAACAACCGTTTTAGCTGTAGGTTTGATAAGGTAAACATGACTAAAAAAAAGATAAGTCACGTTGCATGAATACTAATGTGTGTTCTACAAAATGGCTTTCACGGGCGGTCTTGTATTTTTTAACGGGAACAAGCCGACTATATTGTTATGTTTAAATAATCAATACACAAGTCGTTGACATATTATCTGTGTGTCACGCACAACACGCCGTTAAATATTATTTATTATAATGTATGTATAATATATATATATATTTTTTTTCTTATGTTAATAAGCTTCATAATATGTTTGTATTATCATTTAAGTGATTCATTTTATTGATAAAACTTGATGTAAAGCTTAAGTTGATAAAGTCATATATTATTAACAGAGAAGAGACACCTGTATAGATACTTAAATAGCCGTTAGCAACTTTAACAGCGCAGTTATTTCGTTTTTATTTTAGCGCATAAATCATGTCTCAGAGAAGATCCTTAAAAGCAATATAGAACAATTTTAGCGTTAAAAGTACAAAAAAAGGTACAACTACAAAAAAATAAAAGATGTTATCTACATTTTTGACATTTGAGAGATTTTCGATAAAGTTATTAAAACTAAGTTACAAGACTACAGTTTTAAAATGGATTACTTTAATTTTTTTTTACGTTTTGATGATATCCCTATTGTTGTTGTTCTTAACATATTAATTATAAAATTTCATTTTTTTAAATAGGAATCCATTGGCATACTCTTTACAGTGTATTAGTTAGGGTTCGTTATGAAATATATGAATATATAATCAGCTATTGAAGTGCGTGTAAATAATTATTGTTTTTGTACAATTATTTTTATATTCGAGTGGCTCTTAATATGATTAGATTAATATTCTGTAATGACTGATCGTAGACATGGGTTAGCAGTTTTTTTTTGACAATACAAATATTATGCTAATATATTATATTCTAAGTACAAATGTTATCCGGCCAACTGCTATCTATGGATTGACTTGATTTCACCAAAACAACAACATACTTTGAGAAATCCGTTAGCTTATACTCGGAAACAATTTTCTTAATCAACGTGTCATAATAACGAGTCACCGTGCAATTTGGAAAATTTCCAATTCCAGATCGGTCACACATCGTCATTGAGTAAAACAACAGCGTATGTGCCCAAGATAGCAAAGTATAAAATTAACATTTAAAAAATGTCGTGAAGATGTTTTACTACCTATATTTTATTTTCTGCTGCGTTTGGGCACTTCAGCGTATTCTTACACTTGGATAGGTCTTGAAAAAAAGTTCACTAATATTTGTTTTTACATGTTTTTTTTATTAATATTCAAACATCAGTAAACATTTGCCCGTTTTTTTTATGGCGGCCGTGTTTTTTTTTTTTGGTATTTCTTTTTTTGTAGACTATGGGTACTTACTGAACAGTAATGCAATGCTGCCGTTTTTTGTTTTTGTTTATACAATTGTGTTAAGTGTTGTGTTTTGCCGATCCGTGTCGACGATGATATCTCTGTTTTTGGTCTTAACGCCGGAAACCATCTTTGACATTAGCCAGACTAGGTATGCTACTTTGATATGTATATATTGTGGTCGTCGCCCACTTTGATACGGACCGTCGACTTTGGGCGAACAAATTACAACTCACCGTTGCTAGTAGTAGTAGTATGAATTTAATATATATATATATATATATATATATATTATACTATAGCTGTTGGTATACTATTTTTTATTATAATGTATATATATTTTTTTCCTCCTTCGTATTACGCCAATTGAGATAAATGATACGCAATGCTGTCTTCTTTTATTTTATTATTTATCTGTAAAATGCGTACGCCACAATGACTGGGAATGGGTTACAGCCGCAGTCACAATAACAGCTAATTTTATAACGTTAAATAATATTATAATTTATGCAAATCGTATACCTGTGACATCGTTGTAGGTATTGGTGATTAGTAATCCATTCATCTGGCTGTCGTATAATTTATGTGTCAATACAAACGTAAATATTATTATTGTCAAAAAAAAAGAAAAACCCGCTGTAAAAAGTTGTGTAACTTCGGAACGTTTATAAATCTTAAACGTCATTCACTGCCTTTTCCGATATCGATAATTATTATTATTTTTTGGTCTGACATTAGTAAATTCACCGTCAAACTTATTTACAAGATGTTTGAATTATATAATTACTTTTGCTTTTATGTACGGGTTTACCCGTTGGAAATTTAAAAAAGGAGTGTCATTTGCATGGGCGGACAGTGGATAGGGTAGGCCGTAAGCTACTATATAGAAATTCCTCAAATTGATGCCTCCGTATATAGAAATGACTCCGATGATTAATGTACTTAACAATATTTAAATACTAACTGCAGCTCACAGCTAGAATTAACTGAAACGTAAAAATCACTATTGTAAAACCAACATTTTCTTACCTGTAATCAACGTTTTCGATTTCAAAACATCATTTATCATTTTTTTTTTAAAGTATATTTTAGGGATACAACCTTATTTCAAGAATTTTGCATGTATACATGAATATTTCGTAGAAAAGTTTATGAAGTCAGATTTTTATTACTATGGCTTTTTCTGACAAAAATTGATAAAAAAAATGTTTGTTATAGTAGATTTATGCAAAATTGAAAACCCTAATGAGCATAACAATGTGCATATTTTATGTTTTGTTTGAAATTGCATATTATTTAAAGCTTTTTACTAAGTGTATGCAAATCTGGACGACACTGTTTATATTATATTAACGTTCAACTAGGTGTACATATTTTGTTATATTCAAGGTAAACGAGATTCCTTTGTCTGTTGCGATTTCCAAGATTATGTGGCCTGTTTCTAATAATATTACCTATGAACAACGCTACTGATTGAACACATAAAACAGGGTAGTTTTTTACCGTAAAAAACGGTGCGTTGGGTAAAGGGTAAAGGCAATGGAAACAATATTCGTGACTAGCCATAATACGATTATGGCTGCTCCCACCAGTTTGGCTTAGCATTTAAATAGTGTTTATGCTATAGTTTAATATTCTTAAATTATACTAATTTAAAATGGTAGTAATATTATGTTTTGTTTAACTATGTAATCAAAGTTAATTAAAATAATGGTTTTTTTAACGATTACTGATTACAACATGATATGTTTTGTAATGGACGGCTTCAAAACTTATCGCGTAAACTGTAGCCGTCTGCCCACTGATCGTTTTAAAATCAGCGTCTTTTTTTAATAGTATTGATTTGACTTAAAAAATTGATTTAGCCAAAATCCAAAACGAAATTCACAGAATCTTAAAAATATATTATGAGAAAATTAAAAACGTAAATTATACTGAATTAGCCGTCGATTAATAATAAAAACATATTACATGTATATTTTTTTTAATACGACATGTTAGTCTTTGAAATTTGATAATATTTTAGTAGTGTACGATAAAGGTAAAAAATTTGTTTTTCATTTTATGACATCACACCCTGTTCACTATCATATTCAATAAACAAACAAATAGGACGTTACAAATTGGTGTGATTAAATTTTCCTCAATAATAACAATTGTTGATATAAACCGGATAATACGGTTGTGTCCAGTATACCCAGTCTTCCCCTTCTTACATACTCAGAAATGTATCCAAATTTTAGTATAAATATTTGAAAAAATATGTATATTAGTAATTCAGTTAAAATTTAAAATTATTTTTATAGTTTGATGGATGAGCTCAATAAATTAATTGTACAATAGTGGATTATTTTATACAATAAATTGGGTAATTAAGGTAAATTAAAAAAAATTGGGCTAGTAAAATTATTATATATATTTCTTTAATATTACTAATAAAGATAAAATATTAACATCTTATGATAACTATTATTATTTGGTTATATTTTATGCATTCAAATTCACTCCATTTGTTGATAATATTGACCTTGCGTAGATAAAAATATGTTGAGATTTTCCTTTTTATTAATATCCCGGGCTAACGATACAGACACATTGCAACTTGCCTAGCTCGTTTGAATTTTTTTGAATTTAAGTGGGTATCTTTGTCTCATGGACAAATTTTTAAAACATTTTTTCAGGCGATTACTTGCAATGACTCCTGCCGGCCGTTAACGTCGTTACCCAACCGAACCACCCCAGACATGGACGTTATTTCGTCAAAGCCGCCAGTGCTGTTGGAAAACTCAACCCTTGGCCGGAATGAGCCAAAGACTTTGTCGTTCAGCACAACGTCGGAACTCGACGCCAACGGCTTCCCGACGAACCGAACCTTGTCGTCGCCAACGTCTCCCATTGAAAAACCACGAATATCCATCCCGAGCCCGTCGTACGACAGGAATCCGGATTACCTGCCCAAGTCCTGGTACGCTCAGAGTTACAGGAGAAACAGCAGTTCGTCGTTTGGCGACTCGCCCACGTTTCACACTTCCTCGCCCCTCACCGCCTCTCCGCTGTCAACGCATTTGGCCGACAACGGTTCCAACACGTTAACCAACGGATCGAAACACACAGCCGCCGATCACCTGACCAAAGTATGTGTTTAATATGCTTAGTGTGTATCTGATCTTGTTTTTTTTTTTATAGAAATGCAATTAATAGAAAATAACTAGATAAACAAACTTGTTTCACAAAAATTACATTTCTACCAAAAAAAAAACCTACTCGTTTCTGAAATATTGAATATAAATTTAATCTAAGGGCACCAATGAATTGAGAATAACCCAAAATTATGTGTTACATGTCATAGGTTGATTTTGGTAACATGCTGGTCACTCGGTGGCCATCAAGTGGACGCATTTGTGGCCGGATACCAAAAAATCGTGTTACATATCAATTCAACAAAATTTTTGCTCCCGATTTCAAATCTGGATTAATTTTTTAATATATATATATATATATACTTTAAAATGGCTCTTATTAGGGTTTTTTTTTAATTTCTATAAGTGCGTCTTTTTGCCTCTGTGCCTAATGCCTTCCATTTTTTCACCTTCAATTGGGTTTTTATCGACTTTTAGTCATCACAATGTAGCATAACTACTGTATGATTAATCTGTTTATTTTATTTTATGTAGAACCAGTACAACAAAGAAAACATACACCAACTGGAGCAAAATCAGTTCTTACATTTGGAAGAAGTATTAAACATGTGCAGCGATTACGAAAAACAAATACAGACAGAACGTTTAAACAAACCCCAACAAAATAGGTAAAGCTTACCGATGTATTCGATTCAACGGGCTACCAAGAAATAATTGGCTTTCAATCTAAACGTATCATTTTGTAATAAATCTGGTTTATTTTTTGTACATGTGATATTTTGTTTTATGTTAAAGGATTAAAACAAACGGATCTCTGCCTCGAGACAAAAAGCTTGGTTCTACCCCCGATGGTTCACCTGTGAGCCCATGGTATGTTTTTTTTGTATTACTACCTAACTGTTGTTGATAAGTCACATAAAACAATTTTTAATCTATTTTTTTTCTAATTACAGCTCACCATTTCACAGGCAGAGTCCAGATTTTTTGGAAAACCCAACGTCTCCTTCGACTCTGAGTGACAGCGTGTTCCTAGAAAGTAATTTCATACCCGGCAGTCCGAGAACCAGGATTAGGACTATTCCGTCTCCGATCGAACATTACAGGTATAATTATTGTAGCTGATTAATACAATAGCATTAGAAAAATATAATTTTAGCTTCGATGTGGAAAGGTAATGTTTTTATTTTTAATAAGAAATCTATAGTGACATATTTTTTTTAAGTTAAATGTTGGAATGTGATTTATTATCTACAACATTATTTATACTTATATTGAATAGTTTCTACCATTTATAATTTCGCTTAAAAGCATATATTTTGTCACTTTCAGTTATAATAATTCCACAAGACATCTGACACCTCCTCACTCCACTTAGTTGGCTTTTATTTTTTGTCAATGTTATTCATAAGCAATATATTTTTTGTCTAGGGATTATGATACATTAGATGATTTTTCGAGCTTAACAATAAAAAGAACCAGAAGAACAAATAGAGAAGCCAATGGCCATTCAGACATTGTTAAGCGTTCCCCCATAAGGACCATCAACAACTCTGAAAGCAATAGTTCCAAAAATCACTTGGAAAATTCAAATGGCCATAAAAACTCAATAAACAATTCACAGGAGATTAACGATAAAACAGTAATTTCAAGTAGCTGTTTAAATAATTTACAGAACGGGTGTGCACCTACTAAGAACGGCGATAACCATTCAATAAATACCGATAAGTGCGATACACTGTCTACCACTTATAAAATACTGACTAATAATGTGGCCGATATTAAAAAAAACGAGCTGTTGAGTCAAAAGTACATTTTTCCTCCTACTGATTGGCACGCATCTCTGTATGCAGATCCAAAAATGTCAACCAAAAAAGACATTGTTCAATTGAAAAACGAACAAAGTACGCTATTAGTTGAGCTGTCTAAACTAAAATCAAAATTAGTCGATTTACATCTTCAGAAAGAGGAAATCAACAGAGAAGTAAGTTATTTGAAAATTATAATTTGCATTAACCACAGAGAATTTAATTATTAAAGTTTAAATCTATAGTTGATCATGGAACGTGCCCTGCTGGATGGTGAATTGAAATCCGAAATGGAAATGAGCCGAGAAGAAGAGAAGAAACTTTTTAAAATAAGAGAAACAATTAGAGAATGCGACTCTCAAATGGAAAATTGTACTCAAAAACAATTGGAACGACAATCGTTGAGTAAAGAACAACTTGGCAGTCACCAGTCGGTGTTGGACAAGTAACTATTATTTTTTTTTGTATTATTTAATAATACTATCCTTTATGTATTTATATATTATATAACTTAACTTTTGTAATTTTTCTATAGATTAAAAAACCAACTACAAATCATTTCTGATGAAGATTTACGGCTCGAAATATATGATTCTATTGAGAAACAATCTGATTTATTAGAAACCGAACATAAAGTAATTCATCATTAGTTAATAGTTAAATTTTTTTGCCTTGGGTATCTAAGAGAACGCTACATCGCTCATTTCTAAGGAGCAAAGTATAGACAATTTTTTGCAAAATTTTAATTTAAAAGTTAAACTGCAATGTATAATTATAAGTTCAGTAGGACTTTTTTGGTAATTAATTGTTTTTTTTTTTGACTATCCTACACAGCGATTAAAAAAAAAATGTCACCTAAATATATTGCGTTTTAATTGGTCCATAGTGATTTTATAGCTAAAACATCTATTATCAAATCAAATGATAACAATATTTTGGAAACTTTGAGAATATGTCATATCCAATTTTGAAAATAATGTAAATAAAAGTTATAGTTATATAAAAAAAGTAAAATAATGTAATTTTAAATGTTAAATATTAGGTTTATCTAAAAAATGATATGACATAGTCTCCAAAGTGTTGTCACCTTTCATCTTTGTTGTGGGTATTTTTGTTCTAAAATTATCACTTAGCGAGTAAAACGCATTCTGTGTAGCCGTGTAGGTATGTTTTACCGCTAAAAAATTAAGTTTATAGCATCTTCTTAACAATCGATTTCATTTGCATTGAATTCAGTAAATGAGCAAAACGGTTCTTTTTTACTGTCCACAAAAGTACTAGTGCAATGTTTTTAAATGTATAGTTGGCAGACTAAGTTCTTAAATTGTGTAATGTAAACAATATTTTATTAGACAAGAATGAAAAGTACAATATTGTGTGAGATGAGCGTATTTTAAGTAGTTTCATCTGAACATTTAGATAGGTTCTTCAATCAATGATAAAAATTTTTTTTTCTATTTGTAGTTGTACGAAGATATAGAGTTTAGTCTCTTGGAAGAAGAAGCGGGTTGGCTGACAAAACGCGAAGAACTTCACAGGGAACACAGCGCTTTGGTAGCTTTGTATAACGAACGGATTGCAAGATTGGAATCATTAAGAGCTCAGTTGGAACAAATCAGCCGGAACGCATCCGACGAATGTATCGCTATTCAAGGAGACATTAACTCTTGCCTTCTTTCTATACAACAGGTATAGGCCAAAGTCCTTACGTCGATGGTTGTTTGATTATAATTTGTAAAATTATATTTACAACGTTTTCGGTTTAATAGGGCCACAAGAGACTGGATGATATAAACAGCTCTTTGGAAATGTTAGAAAAATCTTATCAGACTTCGACCTCAAATGAAGTAATCATTGCATTTTTTAAAATAAATTATTGATATTTTGCTTAGTTTGATTTTAATTTCCACTTTATTATTAATCTCATTCAAGGAGTTAGAAAAAGCGACGGAGAAACAATCGCAAGAGGATCTGGACAGGATTTCGAAAATAACTTTGGACACTCCTCTGTTGGAACTGAACAACGTTTTGATGGGCCGACGTACGTTGGCTTCATTGCAAGAAATCGAAAAAAACAGGCAAATTCATTTGGCAAAGCAAGGTTGGTGCAATCTTTATGTGTTCTGCCTCGTATTCAATGTTTAAATGTATTATTCTAATGTGTATGTTTGTGTGCAGGAAGTATAGTCATCGAAGAAGCCAGGAAAAGAGTAAAGGAGCTGAAGCAGAAAGTTCAAAACGAAGTGATCGCTCAATGGGAAGACGAACAGATCAAACAGAGAAATTTAAATCACAATTCGTTGAACAGTATTGCCAGCGAGGATTACAGTAACACAGAATCCAGTGAATTGATTACCACCAGGTGAGAATCTTACTATTAATAGTAGTTTGTATAATTATAGTACTTTAATGAAAATAATAATATTGACTCAACTGGCATTTTATTTTACAGCGTCTGCAGTAACTACAGTGAAGTCACCGGTCTGGACAGCATGTCGGCTAGTCAAATAAACATCAGTGATACTTTAGCTGTCGGGGTAATTAATGTTGTCTGCTTTGTAAATGTTAGCCTTTAAAAAAGCTGTTATGTAAATTTGTGTTTTTATTTATTAATTAGCATGAAGATGGTAAAAAGACTGATCTTGAAAATCGAGCATTATCGAACGCATCATTTACTTCCAGTGATGATGTGATTGGAAGCGTTTGTTTTAGGAACAAATCCGATAATGTGACCAAAGTAAGTTTTAAAAAATGTTGTTTTAAACAATTTCGAATCAGACTGATTTATTTGTCGTTCACAGAGACCGCTGACGAGGTATTTACCGGTTCGCAACGGTGAACTCGATCTAAGAGCACACATCGAGTCGGCTGGACATCAAATTGACGCCTGTACGCACATTGAAATCAACAATTTCTCGTGTCGTGGCTACCTTAGTAAACTTTCGGTCAGATTTCATCGCTACAGTTGGAAAAAGCGATGGTTTGTGTTCGATCGTATCAAACACACCTTGTCGTATTACGCCGATCGCCAGGAGAAAAAACTACGATCTGTCACTTACTTTCAAGTAACTTTTTTTGCCTTCTTTCGCCATTACCTTCCACGTTAAACAAAAAGTAATCGATAATATTGTATTAAATATAATTTCAACAGGCAATCCAAGAAGTGTATGTTGACCACATGAACAGCTGCAAATCACCAAATCCCAGGCAGACATTCATTGTAAAAACTAAGGAACGGAGGTATTGCCTATTAGCGCCTACGTCGCAAGCCGTTCGCATTTGGGTCGACGTCATATTTACTGGCGCCGAGGGTTACCAAGAATTTACAAAAGTTTAGACACGTCTTCGTTTCACTGTTTATTTTTTTAACTTAACTTTATATTTATTTTCCTTCCCCTTATAACTATTTTTTTTCTCGGAAATTTAAACGCCATGTTACACTTGACATGCCTATGGCCTGATAAACTATTATTTAAAACTAAATTTCAGTTTAAAAGCTAGTTTAAATAGTTTATTTAAATAGCTTTTAATGATTTTTTACTCAACATATATATTATGTCTTGGTGCAAAGTATATACATTTTTTTTCTTATAGAATTTTAAACATTTTTCTCATACTAAAAGTTTAAATTCTGAATTAACGTATTAAATTTGAATACTATAGAAAGCTAACCAAATAACTTGTAAATTTTTTATTATATACTAATGTAATCATTTTAAAATATGTAATATGATTGTTGTTTGTATAGAAAACAAATCTGGAAACAAGTTGTAGTAATTGCATTATCATTTTTAATTTTTTTTTTTAGATGGTTAGTTTTATATTAATTTTTTTATTATCATCGAACGCTTTACGTGTAAAAAAAACCTATTAGCACTTAGTATTTGTCTCGGCACAATTATTATTGTATTAACACATCAGTAAATGTGTAAAATATCATTGCACTGCTAAACTAGAACCAAACAGTATTTGGTTTGTTATCCTATTTACATAATGTTCATATAGTTAAGTTGTAATTAAAGTGTAAAATAATTAAACGACAATATTAATTAAAACTCATAGACTGACTTTGTTTAACATTACCCGAGCTAATTTCTTCTTTATTTTTGTATTAGAAAGTATACATAACGCAGGTTTTTGATGGCATTGTATGATTATTTAAGAATTTATTACTTTATGGATATTTTGTATTGCTAAAGCGACACAATGTTTTTACTAAAATGTATTTTTTGACTTGTATAAATATTATTTATTGAAAACATTGTGTTGTCATAGGTATAATGAAAAATTATAATTTAAAAATGCCAAATAATCTAGACAATATTTTTTGAGGAAAAATAATTTCTTAAACCACGTAATTTTATTTATTGTTACATTTTTATTTATTAAAATTTAAAAACATTATAGTACCAGAAATGTGTGTAGTTAACTACAGAATTTCTCTTTAATTTAAAAAAAATCAAATTTATTATTGAAGTAATAGTTTTTTTTTTTAATTAAAAAAAACATTTATAATAGTTATTCTAATTTGTAATGTCATCCAGAATCTGCATTTTGTACATATTATATTTTAAAATGTAGTTACCTTTGAGCTCACCTTTTATGTGACAGCCTTATTAAGTTAATATTTTATATTACAATAGTTTTTTTACCATTTACTTTTTAATATTAGTTTCTGTCAAGTATACAATCATTGTGTTCGAATCACATGGGAACGTCATATAAGAATACCTGTCAGATCCCATATTTTTTTATTACCGTTTTATATAAAAAAAAAAAGGATCAGTAAAGTAATGTTTATTATGTGATAGGGCTTTTTAATTTCTTTGATGTAATATTCCGTTTGCATGTTGCATAGTTAATTTTACAAGACGTGTTCAATATAATATTATGATTGGTTAGTTATAGTTAAAACGCTATTAAGTTTTGTATTTTTTACTGAAATCGTTAATTTTTCTTAATGGCTTAAACCAATAACAAATTATATTGTTAACAAAAATCACCTAAATGTAAATGTGCACAGTAAAATATATATATATATGCTAGGCTTAACACTTATAAAATTTTGCGCGTGCATGTTGGTGTTTTTTATTTTGTTACATTGACTTTAAGTATTATTGTATGTAGTCACGCATTTGCACTATATTATATTAAATGATGAGACATAACTATTTTGGTTTTTATTAGATTTTTAATATTTTACATCTAAACCGTTACATTAGTGTAAATTGTAACTATTAACGATTATATTGAATAAAGCTAAACCAAAAAAGTGCCCTACGCGGCCATTGCACAATTTAAAATGAATGGTATTTTTTTTTCTCAACATTACATTATGGATAAACGTCTGTCATTTGTTTGTTTCGGTTAAATAAAGACATTTTTCACCAAGGGTTGGATAATTTTTGGTCGATTTGACTCGGATAAATGTCACAACGAGCTCATTGAAATTTATATTTTAAGGTAAAGCGATTTATGTATGCCAGTATTTAATATAACGGTTTGCGTCGTTTTGTATCAATAAATATTTTGTCCTTGGAAAATATTTGTAATTGGCTATTAATTTGAATAAAAAGTTACTTTTTCTTAAGCTACTTTATTAAATCAAATTCTACGACATCTAAAAATCAGTCGTAAAACCTATAATGAGTCTATAAAATTCAACGTTTTATAATTTCGGTTCAAAGTCTCCAATAAAATATTTTATCATAATATTGACACAGAACCTTTATTGTGACATGAAAGAGTAAAAAAACAGTTTAGTTCAACATTAAAATTATTTGAAGTATATATATCTTAAACTAAAGTGATGAAAATATAAAAATGTATATAATATAATGTATGGCATAAATTTGATATTCTAACTACATCATTGTTAATAAATGTCATCGATAAAAAATAGCCTGTGAATTATATGTGTCACTGTGAATAAGCTTTGATAACAAAAGAACATTAATGACGTTATATTATAAAAAATCTGGTGGTATTTTATTTAAAACCGATTACTAAACTAGCTATATAAGTATATGTGCTGGTTTGAATTTACATGTTAAAAAATGTGAAATTATTTTGTTTTGTCACCTCGTTTGTTTGCCGTGGTTATGCAAAAACGAGTAAAAACATAATTTCAATCAAAATTTATCTTAAAGTACACATTGTAAACACAAATAAAAAAACTACATAGAAGATGGCGTCACTCGCTTCTGTACAGAGATGGTTTCGGTGTACTAGAGTCTGTCGCATGGGATTAGGTCAATTGCAATCAGGTAAAATGTTATTTTATGGGAAATAGCTACTCCAACTATATTTAAACGCAAATAATGAAGTCCTAAGCTAACACGTAGTGATGAAATAGGGGCAACATCTTTAGAAAATGTGATTTCGAGTGAAAGAATTGAAGTAGTGAGAACTATGAGAGTATAGTATTAATTCTATTGCCAAATAATGTATAATAATCTAGTTTTTGTCATTGGTCACTCTAATTGTTATAGCAGTAAATAACCAAACGACAAATTGCGTTTTATTCTTTCTTTTTATGATATATTGCCCGAATTATTATGATATTTTGTCCTCTCTCTTAAATTCCCGCTTCTGATTTGAAATATTGTAATCATCAAACACCATAAAATTGGGCATAAGCGTAAATGATGAACTCAGAATTGGAATATCTATAGTTGTATACTATTAAAAAGCTATAAATTAATTTGCACATTTTTTATGTCGTATATTTAGGGCTAGTTTCTGGAATCGGCGACGTGGTCGCTCAGACATACGTCGAAGAAACTCCTTTCGACAAGGTTGATTGGCTTCGAACACTGCGTTTTGCTACAATCGGGTTGTTCGCCGTAAGTATAATCTCTCAAAATGTATATAAAATACTTAATATGTATATAAATGAGTGAAAGTGTATGGAGCTGTGGAATTTAGTTTGTATTTATTATTATATACCTGTTATAATTTGTATACATCACTAAAAATAACTATTTCTATATATTTAATTTTAAAGTCAGGTTGTCTGAAAGTGTACTATAAAAAAGCAACTCCTAAGCGGTTTTGTTGTAATACATGACTTGACTAAGTATATATATTTTGTAATATTAACTTTACCCCGTCATAATAGTTGCATATTGTATCGAATATTAGGGACCGATGATACAGAAAACGACGTACAGACTGGTGAGCCAATTTGGCCAAATCAGATGCCCAATGACCGTACCTACATCAATAGCAATCGAGCAACTGATGGTTGCTCCACTCGTGAATGCCAGTGTAATAGCATACAGCCGCATCATAAGCGGAGACGAATGGCCTCAAGTCAAAGAAAAAACCAAAGAGACATTCATACCAGTCACCGTCAACGGCCTCATGGTAACCATAATAATCTTGGTTCGACTATTGGCTAAGACCTGTTTATATATAAAATGCATCGAAGCTAAAGAAATGAAATAGTTTTATTCGAGTAGCGTTTTTTGTCTGTTCACAAAATACATGTTAAGAAAAATTGTTTTTTATCCACTTTAGCTCTGGCCAGTAGCGCAACTGGTCAGCCACGCTCTAGGACCGTTGGACCCCAGAGGGTTATTTATTGCTGCAGTCGGTTTGGGTTGGAGCACGTACCTGTCTCACGTTACACTGGGTGATGGCAAAGCGGAGATTTTTAACCCTTTTGCTGAGGAAGATAAGTCTAAGAAAAAATCCGACAAGAAACCAGATAAGAAGGCCGCTAAAAATAAGAAGAAGTGAAACACAAAAGAAACCGCTTTATGTTAAATACAAATTAATTTCGTCCCGTGGCTGTTGACGGTTAATTTGGAGATTGAAGAAGCTTATAAGTGTCCACTGTCGTCACAATAATGAAATAAAACAATTTTATTGAAATTTGAGTTATTTCTTATTTTTTTTTTATAGCTCTTGCATTTTTTACGATATCAAAAAAAAAAATGTACAGATTAAAATAGCTTGAAGTTGAAATATCTAAAGCTAAAACTTTAGTTTAGATATAGAAGTTGATATTTATAGAAAAAATGTCTACAACAATAAGGGGAGCTTGGTGCGTTTTAAAAGTGCTTAATCCCGTTTCATATTTTAAGGAAACAAATAAAATGCTCTCCAGGCTATGACCAGGTGTCTTTTTATTAGCTAATTTAAAAAGGTTTTTTAGTAAATTAAAGTTTTACTGTAACTATCGTTTTTTTGAATTGGGAATAGTAGTATAATATAGCATGGTTAAAAATATTTCATATCTATAAGGCGTGAACAAATATGAAGAATTAATGAAGTAAACATTTTAGTGAAAAATATTTATTTTGTACGAAATTAATTTTACGGTTAACTTTTATTTTTTTAACAGTTTTTTAAAAAAATTGTATACTAATATTTTAACTTCCTCTGTACCAATTTATACTGTGCTGGATTACACTGTGCTTGGTTTGGACTGTGCTGGTTTTTTTTATTTTTTATTATTGAATAACTTAAAATTTAACTGTTTGGAAAAAGTTCTTTAAATGTTTCAAGCTAGAGTCCGGATATAAAGTCTATAAATGCGTACAATGTGAATTTTGTCAGGGACTTTATTATAGAACCCTTGAGGTGGTATTAGTAAATAATCTATGATATATTTTTTTAGGAGGTGTTTAACAGAGAAATCGTTTCAAATGTATCCAAAATTCAATAATTATTACTGATATATTATTACTTGTTTGAGGTACTTATACATTATAAAATAGATTTTATTTTTTATAATTGTTGTTGTAAAAAATACAATAGAATTTTTTTTTAAATAAAAGCCTATTTGTGAGTTCTATCACTAATAAATATTATATACACGTATACAGTATGATAAGGTTTATAGTTTATGTCGGTACGGGTCGAAACCATTTAATGGCGTTTTAATTCTGAGTTCTCCGGCCAGCAGAAATTCCCTCGGCGTTTCTTATAGATGGTTTCCAGTAGGCGGGTGTGCTTGTGTAAACTATGAACCAGTAAAGAAATCCAAAACTCATGAGTGTATACACGTGTTACGTTTACGGTATTCGCGGTAGCAAGTCGAATCATATTACAATTTATAGTAACATCTCCCCCCAACCCGGGAGGCACGAACCTTCTGCGAGGCATACAGGCATGTAGTATTATTATTGTGTAATATAAATATATACATTTTATTATAGTCTTGCGTTTTCGATTCCGTATCTGGTCGCGGGCACAGGCTGTTGTTTTCCACGTTTTTGCCTACCTATAATATATTAAATTTATGTATACCGACGCTGGTCGGTCATAGCTATTGCGCAGTAGGGAAGGGAGATGCAAGCACACGGCATACAGGAAATCATCAAATCCTAATCAAGGGAAACACTAAATCACACATGCCAGTGGCGTTCGAGCAGCACACGGCCGAGTAGAATTTAAACTCGGGTCTTGCCCGTGCACTTGTTGTTTTCGCCATTAATATTGCAAAACTTTAAAACGATCCTACCCTCCCTATCGACTACTTACCAAATTCGTTTTTACACTCGGCGTCTTACCTGTGCACGCCTTCGAAGCAAACTACCCGCCGGCCGCGTCGCGTCCAAGTCATAGCTGATATTATTATGTTTTATCGAATTATGCAAACACCCAGAAAGTTCAGCCTAACAAAATTATAATTTCAGTCATGCTGAAACGATTTTGTTTCAATAGCATATTATTCTGTTTTACGATATGCAATATTGTAAGCGTTCCACAATTATTACATTGTAGTCATATTGTTATCAACGCCAAACCAATACGTATTACGTACTTATCTTGTGAAAAATTGTACTAAAATAGAGATAATAAAAAAAAATCTAAGACTACATCTGAAAAACAAAACAAAGAAAAAAGTTCTACTCCTTCCGGGGAAAGGGCTAATGATATTTTCTTGGTTTTTCACTGTACGCGGCAGGTTTATGTATAGTGTTTTGGGGGTGTTTTCCTCAATATTGGAGAAAGAGGAAGGCCGAAGGGGTAAACTTCATTTTTATTTTTGGGTAATACCAATCGGTCGTTAAAAATATAACTACAAGGAGGCGGAAATGATGATAAACGAATTTGAACTGGTGGCTAAGCCAAGTAATATATATATATATTATACGGACTACGTGTAGAGTACATAGCGTGTGCTTTTGATCATCAGCCGGTTCGGGTTCGGATAAGACTTGCAAATTACCCAGAACCGTGCGCGCCCACCAGCTGTGTACGATTTGAGAGAAATCGCACTAGAGGTTGACTTCCGTTTTGTTGTTAAATATTTCTTTGCGAAAAGAACCGGATATGCGATTTAGAGCCACTCCCGTCGGTTAGATCCGTTTCGCGGTGTCGTCTTTGAACCTCAGGAAGATCTTGGTTTCCTGTTCTTCGTCGCTGCTGGTGGTCGGCCTATCGCTTTCCGGAGTGACGCTGTAAAACTGGCCGATATCCTCTTTGGGCATTGGCATGGGCACCTTGTTCTGTGCCTCGGTGGGCTCGAAGCTGGGAAAAGTCAAGGTGTTGGCGTCGGCCGTGAACCGAGTCGACCTGGTCTTGGACGAGTCGCACATGGGTTCCACGCTGACGCTGATCGCCGACTGGTCCACGTTGAACGTGGGCTTGGTGAAACTCATGCTTACCGGACTCTGGTACGTGTAAGAGTACCGTATGGTCGATTTGGTGAACGGCCGTAAGTCCACATCGGTCGAAGCTTTGTTGTTCGCCCACTTAGCCGCCCACTTGGCCGCGACAGCTAAGGTGTAGAAAATAAAAAAAAATTTTTTTAAGAAAATCTACGGGCGGCTCCTTGACCAATGAAAGTTAATTTTACTCTTTATCCGTGATGGATTGAGAGAAAAAACACTTTCATGAAATTGTAAAAGGATGACATGTTTGGAGGGAATGCTATAATAAAAAATTTAAAAAATGTTAACTGGAAAATCTTGTTTGAAAAAGTAAAAATGACTTTTTACCAACATTAAAATATATAGCCAAGTAGGTTTTGAGTATATTGAAAAACATATACGACATTCTCTTTCAGTTTCATAATAGTTGTCGACCAGTCGGTTTTTTTTTATCAGACGATTTTTGACTAGCGAGTAATAAGTAGTTGCCATTTGAGTTTAAAAAAAAAAAAAATAGAATTAGTAAATATAAGTGTCGTAAGCACAAAATAATCCAAAAAGAAAAAAATATGAAATATTCAAGTGTATTTACAGAGAAAACGAGAGACACACGTTGCACAACTCCTCTGACCGAGCAGTACATTTTTTTAGAGTACTTAAAAAATGTTTTTTTACCAGAGTTATTTTAAGGGAACGAACATCTTAAAAACACAGTCGGTCAAGACTTTAAACTAGAAACTAAGAGTGTTCTCTAGTCGTAAAGCAGAGTTGGCCAAATACATACTTCCAATATTTAAAAACTATGTTGAGATATTTAAAGGTAGGATTTTTCAATTTACTAATGTTAGTTAATTACGATTAAGATTTTCCATATCTTATTTTATACAATTGGCCATTAGATAACGTTTTTAAAATACTAAAAATCGGGATTTTCTCAACTCTAGTGTATGTAATGTGTGTGGTTTTTTGACTCAAGGTACTACAAATCTATTAATTATTGTAAATAGATAAGTACGTACTCATTACTTACCGCCTTGCCAAGCAGCCACGCTTAGAAAATAACTTATTACGATCAACATGACTTCCAAGGGAAATCGATTAAGTGCAAGGCAAATAACCGTTAGAACAAACAGCCATTTTATTTTATCATAACTTATGTACGAAAAAAAAAATTACAACTATTTTTTTTATTTATAGAAAACAGTTTGCAAAAATGGATAAAGCGACAGTCAAAATTGAATAGCTAATATCTATGCTATGACAATGCAATTATAAATATTACCAAAAATTACGATATTAGCCAATCAGTAAAATAGAGCCTAGTGTTTTTTGTTTTACTGATAGCCAAGGAAAAACGTTTTACTGAAAAATACTAATGATATAATATTTTGTACTTGCATATCATAAACTTTGCCTACCCTTTTTTTTTGTGGAATAGAAATTACTTCGATTTTTTATATAGAAAAAAACGTAGTTCTTTCTTTTTTACTTTTTATTTATTTTTGTATAGTTATTATATTGTTATTCGTGTTTTTCAAGAATAATTATTGGCAAACTATAATATCGATTGAAAGTGTCATATGTATAACGTCAATTTTTGTTACTATAAAAAGCCAAAAATGGTTTGCTGAAAGTTTTAGAATTAGTTTTAAAGAAAAAAATCTGTATTCAATGGTCTGTATTGTAATAAATATTTGAATAAGTTCAGAAATGTTTGAAAATTGTATCATACGTTGTTTAATGACAAAAACATTAAAACATTTTTTGGAGGAGGTTTGATTTTTTAAAAAAATACCCAAAAACACCTCATGTTTCCGACTCTGTAATTGAACCTCTGATAGTGGTATCAACATGGAACTAGCAAAGTTAAAATTCTAATTAAGTGAACTTTGATTATATTTTTGAAAAAATATTTTTATTTTTTAACTTCAAAAATTGTTAATTTTTTTTTTTTTTAGTTTTTTGGGGTAAAAAAATAAATACATTAAAAAAATATTCTGCTTATTTAAAATTCAAGCTATGTTCTTATGACCCATGTCATCTTTGAACCAATTAAGTTTTTTTCCTATTAATTTACGGTTTCAATCATGGGCGGTTTACTGGAAAATGCCTACTCTACGTGTATTGTGTGACTGAATGAAATTTACCAAATTTCTTCAAATACTTACTTATAAGTTAGTGGAACCAGGAACATCTGGTAAAAGTTTGATGATGGAGAAACTATTTCAAAACCAGTAGTAAAGGTTCAAATTTTCCGATTTACATTACGGAAATTAATTACTCAAGTATTTTTTCTCGATACGTTTTATTGTATAGCGCCAGCACACGGTCTACGTTTGTGGGTTCTTCGCCATTTTTGGATATTTAAGTCTTGATGCACCGCCGCGTTTGGAAATATAACGAAATGAAAATAATAAACTTGGCGATTTCCAAAAGCGAAAACGATGAGAAGTGGAGGAGCAAGTTTTATGAAATCCGATCGTTTGAGTGGGGAGGCCCACGCCGTCTCTGGAGATACATTTCTAAGTACACGAATTACAACATAGGAAATACTACTGCAAAGCCGTGTAAGCGTCTTCGGGCGAGGGGTGAAAACAAAAACGCTACACAGTAAAGCACCGACGACGGTCTAAAGACGAATTAAAATTGCCAGGTGCACGCAGATATATATTTATATATACGTATAAATGTACAAGACCCAGTACGAATCAGTGGAGTCTTTATGGGTCCGGAGTGTGCACGGGGTGGCGTTGGCCGAGAGGAGTGGCAGAGGGTGGTCGTGATTATTCGGTGACATCGGAAGCCGGTTTTATTAATTAGAGCTTTGAATGGTCTTTGGGAGGGGGTGGGGGTGGGTAGATGCGGGGTAGGGGAGACGACGATAATTATTATGATTATAAGCAACCCCTCGTCGAAGAGTTTTTACCCCGGTTTTGCTTTCGCCCTCATCCCCTCGGCGAGGCGGCAGCAGGTGAGCGGCAAACGGGGTGGTCTTTGTGCCGAGTCTGATTAAAAATATGCCGATAAGTTTCTCGTCGTCGTCGTCGCATCTACCCTTATTCCGTCGGTTACACGGTGAAAGGGTTTCATTTTCTAGACAGTCTGCCCACCCCTCGTTGTCGAGCACAAACCCAAATCGTATACACAATAACAATAATAATTGACAAATGAAAATACCATTGTAGGTACACCCGAACGCGATTAAACCAAATTCATAATAATACTAAAAATAACATATAAAGTAAAACATAGTAATGACCATTTTAAGGAATCAGGCCATGACGAGTTGTCGATTCTGTATACCTATTTAGATAAATAGCTGATTGCAAATTTCAAAAATTTGCATTAATAATATTTCATAGTTCCGTCAATTCGTGTGGTTTTTTTATGTAGTTGGTATATTATGAGGTTTATGTCCTGTATGAATATTATACTGAATTGCAAACCTTCGATTTTTCCGAAATTTTGAATACTGCAAATATAATATCTCTTTGGGTTTCTCAGGAAAAAATTAAGAAATTAGTTGCATTATAATTAACATATTTTCTTAAATTGTTCTTTTATTTTAACGCGAAAACTCAACTAATCGTACATTTAAGTCTAGAATGCTTATATTTTTTTAAATAATTATAATTATACTTAATAATTTATGTAAACAAAAGTTTGTTACTCAATAAAAAAAACTAAAAAGGCGTGTTCTTAGGTTCTTTTTTAACTTAACACTTTTAGGCCATATTTGCATTGTTAAGTATACTTTAGCGAATTTCAATCCATACTTGGTTACTTCTGTATATTTCCCGACGACGTTGTTGTTAACAAAAATAACAATACAAAAAAACTTGTCGTCGATCGTTAGGTGTTTGTTTTTTAAATACAAAATGCACAAACAATGAGTAATATTTTGTTGTGAACTCTGAACGGAAATTTAGTTTGATAAAAAAATTGCTAAAAATAAAACAAAACGTTTGTCTTATGTAAACAGTGTTTAGGTCACGTCACTATGCATGTATTACTTTTTTTTGTTGTTGCTATTTTGAGTATTTTTTTTACAAAAACGTTTTACGATTTAATTAAACTGAACCGGTCGTTTTTACTACAGTTTTTAGGCAGTACTAAAACTACTATTATTACCAAAACCGCTCGTTAAAAATATGATGGGTAATGCCTAAATTTTTATTAAACGACGTCATAGGTTAGTACGTGGATTATTAATGTTATAATTTAGTTTTCCCTACATAATATTATCAGCGTTATGATGCCAATCATAGTATAAAAAGCTCTATAACGTTTATCAGATTTTGTGAGGGACTCACGACATTTTATCATTGCACTAGTTCAAGTTAATACTTTGTTATTGATATTCCATAATGTCCATAAGCTCTTGAATAGTATTATGTTCTGTAGTCGTTCTATAGCCGTTATACCGAATTGGCAATCTTGAAAATCAAGACGGGAAGTGCCAAATATTACACACTATAGTAGAACCGTAACAGTCGATAAACGAGTTACTTAAACGTAACACATTAAATAATTATTGTAAAGTAAATTTTTAATGAGAGGGCATTAAAAAAATGCACAGCTTTTAATGTTAAGGCAGGTTGTTAAGACGTTACGTCGAGAGGACTAAAAAACATGCCAAAATTGAGCGGTTTAAACATTTCTCTAAAACGTTTTTAAAAACGTAACAACATTTTTTTAAAAACTAAATTTTACTTTAATCGGTCTTTCGTTCAAACCAACTAGGTCAATACAATACTATTTTATAAATAGTATTGTGTTTGTAAGAAAGAACATCAATTTGTGCTTGCATACCTTGAAAATATATGAGAGGGGTGACCGTTTTGCCAATGAAAAAAGGTCAAACGGCCGTTTATGTTAGGTCCGCAAAGCCCTTTGGCAGTAAAAATAATTTTGAACCTTTTGTCGGAGATAAAAAAAAATGCACGAAAGCTGACCCAAACAACAAGAATGTCTGAGAAGTAAAAAAAAAATAAGATTTAAATCTTATATAACGATGCTAAGGAATTGGTCGTTTAAAAAATAAAACATGAAAGTCTACGTTGGGCTATCCGCAGTCGAGACGGCTTCAAACATCGACGAAAAAAGTTTTGAAAACTTACTGCAATAACAGAGGGCTCGCTAAGCCGGTTTTTGTTTTGTTTTTGTTCGGTCGTTTGATTGATTTTAAGATGATATATATGTATTCACTCGAGTTCAAAGATATCGCTTACTATTTAAACTTTGCTCTATAGTACTGTGGACAAAAATAGTTTGGAATTGCGAAGCGTAGAAACGGTTCAAGTCCTGCATCGCACTCATAAGATTTACTAAAAAGAAACTTTAAACCAGAAACGAAGTTATGTTTTCCAAAGCGAATAAAACTTTGTTCTGGACGCGTTTGTTTGTAAACTATTTTTGGAGTCCAGAGTAGTTTATTAAATTTAGCAAAAAAGAGATGGATAAAAATAACATGTAAAGAAAGAAAGGTATAGAAGCGCAAACAATTGCATTCATCAAGTCAGTAATGTTGTTCGTAATTCGATCGTGGTCGGTCAAATTAATTTTAGAATGACTAAATTCTTTTGGTAATATAATTTGTTCCTTTGTGCTACAGTGTTGTTAGCGTTATGTGGTTTTATATAGTTTAATATGTTTAGAGTAATCGGCGGTTTGCCATAAGGTGATACTGTCACGTCGGCAACGAATCAGTTACAAACGTCCAAAAAAACAATCAGCCATTGATATGTATTCTCACGTGTATTTTTTTTTTTTAATATGAACATTTCCCAAGTAATGAGAATAATCAGTAAATGTCCGTTTATCGAAGTATTTTTGTCGTTGTAGCTATAGTTTTATCCGGATTTACATGTTCTGTTTAAAGGTAAGCGCAGACGAATAATGTATTTTGTCCGGCCGTTAATATTTCCAAGGGTTGCAAAAGAGATTTGCCCGTTTTATGTACATGATAGATGTGTTAAGTGTGAGTAGTGGTAAAATGTGACTGGAAATCATTTTATTGCTGGATACATATTTACAACCTATTCAGCTCGTATTTTAAACATTAGATCTCTTCTATTATTTCATGCATCATCACATGATGAATCCGTGTAATTTCACAAGGTTTTATTCGTTGTGTCACAATTCTTTAGTCTTGGCAGGATAAATGGCCAAATCTTCCTCCTCATTTTGTCAGACATCATATGGGACAGGCACAAATCTAGAAAGGTTATTACATCTCTCTGGTGTTTAAACTACGGTCAGTCTCTCCGCCTTTTACATATTATCATCAGTATACTTGAATTATGCCAAAATGCTTTCTTAAAAATGTATGATTTAATCGACCAAAAATCATAGCCGTTTAATGAAACCATTAGTTCTCGATTGGGTATGAAACCAAAATTACTTAGTTCAGTATTTAAGTTCTAGAGAAATCGTTACTTTCGTTCCTTCTCCCTCTCTCTACGAGCCGTCCAGTGAGTTAATAGATCATTTACACTGACCATATTATTTTTGTCTTTATGTTGGGTACAGATGAGCTGTGTGCACTTCCGTTTTTGCATCGCGTGTAAACGCTTAGTGTGCTTTTAACTACCCCGGAACAGTTTTCCCACCTAATACCACCCCGCGGATGATGCCGCCGGTGTCATCGTGGCTGCTATCGCTGGTGACTACTATGACGTTGGTGACGGCGGCCGACGCCTACAAGAATCGGACCATGCACAAGTGGGTGATAAACAGCGCGAACCTGGCGTGGCAGAGCGCGGTGGAAGCCGAGGCGGCCCTCGAAAGCGGCCGGTTTCGCCGGGAGAATATCATGATCTCCCGGTTTCAGATGATGGACTCGGGCGACGCGGTCACCACATTCCTGGTGATGCCCAATCTAGCCATGGGCGTGCCGTTCACGCTCGGCAAGGTGGAACTGGCACACGGCGTCAACAATCTTTTCCCGCAAATAGCGCCTTTCCCGCATTGGGACGCGTACAACGAAGACTGGACTAAGTCGCTGATCGTCAACGTGGTCGACGTGTACGTGGACGTCAAAGGCGTGCTGTGGGCGTTAGACGTGGGCGACGTAGAGACGAAAACGTTCGTCAAGCATGTCTCACCGCCCAAAATTTTAGCCATGGACCCGCAGACGAGTCAGGTGTGTGCCCTACCCATTAATAGACCTTCCTACTCACTAGTCCACCCGAGGGTCATGTATTTAAGTTATAAACGTGTATATATAAACAGATAAAACGGGTGGCGAGCATGGCGAGTGTGATGCACGCATCCAGCTTTTATCAGTACATAGTGGCGCTGTACACGGACTCGGACGACTTAATGGTATTCGTCAGCGACCCAGGCACCAACCACGTGGTGGTGTATGTGTACGACTGTGACCGGTTTTTCGAGATCATCCTGTCGCCGGATATCTACATGCCGGGCAAACGGGACATATTGTACATGGCGCCGTTGATGTTGCGCCGCGGCACCCGGCTGTTGTTGACGTACCACGACGGCTGGAACATGTACAAAGTGCAGGCGGATATCATGGACAAGACGTCGGACACGGCCATGTTGAGCGTGATCGGCGAGAAACCGTGCAACATGGTGCTGTTGGGCACGGACCGTGGTAGCGTGTTGTTCTTCCGCATGGAGAACACCAACGACGTGTGGTCGTGGGACGGCAACACGCCGCTGGACTCGGACAATTTCAACTTGGTGCACTTGGGCACGACGTGCCGGGTGCCGGTGGTCGTGTGCAGTTCCCGGGGGCTTATGTGGGTGATGGAGACCAATTTCGTCGACTACTTCGAAGGCACCAACGACCGGATGGGCGCCAACGCCAAACTGCAACTGCTCCAGAAACCTACGCCGCCGTTGCGCGTGCAGCCGCGAGGGAAACGTGACTCGTGCCGCCGGTCGTGATCCGTAGTGAACCGACCACGTGGGACGACCTGCACCGTGCTCGGGGTAGGGGACGGTGGTTCGCACACCTACAATAGACGATGCCCGACGGGACGCCAGTGACAACGCGTGACAACGGACGGCCGTGTAGTTGTTGCACAAGGTGTTGCTGACAAATGTATCGTTTTATCAATTAATTAATATTGTACTAGGATTTTTGGCTGCGGTTATTCGCACCTAATATTGTTACTGCTGTCAAATCATCGTTTTTCGCTTAATATATGATTTTTAATCAAACTATCTCTTTTAATGATTTAACTTTTCATTTTTTTTTTACAACCCTTTTATTAATAAAACAATAATATGTTTTCCCGCATCCTTTAATTATTCGAATTATATTATAACTGGTTCTTGGTCGTCTTCTTACATTCAGTCACACCTTCAATCTCATCATTAGCATGAAAATTGTTTTTCAGAGCGATCAAATTGAATTATTGGTCAGAGCAAAAATTTTTTTTGATAATAGAAAAAATGTGTTGTTAATGAACGAGTTGCAAAATCAATACATATAAATGAATTTGTTTTATTTCTTTTTCGAGAACTAAGTGTTGGAAATAATTTTTTTTTTTTTTGAGAATGTGAATAAGAATAAATTTACTTTTTTAAAGAATAGTAATGAACAAAAATATCTAAAAAAAAATGTTAAATTTATAACGTTAAAAATGTAAGTGTTAATATGGTTAATATTTTTTAAAAAGTTAAAAGTAAATATTGCATTTAAAAGTTTGTTGAACAAATTTAACTAAAAAAAACTGAGTTTAATGTTAAATTATTTTATTTAATGAAATTTAATTAAATAATTAGTTGAATAATATTTAAAATTAAAAATTAAGTTAATTATGAAATTTAATGTTTGTTTTGAAGTAGATATATGTAATTAATTATGAATTTGAATAAACGACTTCAAATCTAAGGTGTTCTTGTTCACATCAAAAGATCCACTGGGTTAACACGAGTCCCTCCAGAATTGTTAACAGGTTCTTCGTTTAGAATTTGACAACTGCATCATTTTAACCTGGTTGCGCTTATTAAAAATAAAAATTTAAGGGAAAATATAAAACCGTATATTATAAAAAACATTAAAGATTGCACTATATTATCAACATTTTGAAGCAAAAATGTTATAAAAAAAAAAAATTATTTTAAAGAAAAAGAAAGTTATTTATCCATTTTTTGAAATTTAAACAAGAATAACTTTAAAAAATTAATTAATTAATTAATTAATTAATTAAAAATTAAAGATAGACTAATAAATAACGATAAAACAATATTACAACATTTGGATAACTGAACTCGAAAGTTGTATGGTTATAATTTATCTTAAACTTTTTTTAAACATTTCTTTAAATTTTTCGTCGATTTTTTTTTGTTTTTCAATTTTTCTTCTTTTTTCTTTTTCTTCCTCTTTTGCTTGTTCAATTTTCAACAGCACTGACAGTTTTATCAATTTAGGCATATTCTAAATGTCTAAGTAAAAACAAAAAATAAAAAAATTATAGAATACTGGAAAAAAAATAGTTTAAATTTATTTTTAAATAAACTTTTTGCAACATTATTTGTTGTAGGTACAGATAAAAAAAATTATTAATCGTAGAGAAAAAAATCCTATATTATTGTTTTATTAAAATACGTAATATGTTGTAATTTTTCCATCTTAAAATCTATAAACTAAAATATTTTTTTGTTCTATTTTTATTTTATTGTAATTAATTATAAAACTACGAACAATTTTTCTTTTATAGCGCTATTAACTTTTAAAACAAAAATGGGAACGCATATACTTGACTATCTTTTTAAAATAAGAATAATTTTCCGAAAATGTCGGCTGGTCGATAACCAGTTTTGGATAATTACTTTTGATATTATTAAACATTTATTTTTATTTTTTCCGTACTCAGAGTTAGGTAATTTTTATTCGACTAACGAAAAATAAATAAATTATTCGAATAATCTCTTTATTCGACCAAATCTAAGGTAATTTATTCGAATAAAAAATATTATTCAAAAGGTATTTGAGTAAAAAAGTTATTTAATTAATTATTTAGATGAAAAAATTACATAAATAAAATGCCCAACTCTGGCCGCACACAAATTTTAAACTTAAGTAGCTTATAAGGTAATTATCCAAAACTGGTTATATACCAGTTAACATTTTTAGAAAATTATGTCTAATCTAAAAAGTGAAATAAATGTTTCTGTTACTATTTAGGTTTCAAAAGTTGATAGTGCTGTGGCAAAAAATAAAAAATAAAAAATTGTAAAGCAATATAAAGTGTCTTCAAAAACAAAAACAAAGTTTTAGGTATATAAATTGTCTAATATTGCATCTTGTACGGTAGTTTTTTTATGTAATAAATAAAAACAATTATTTTACTAAAATTAAAGTGTTTGAATACAAAACAAGAACTCTTAAAAAATAGTTTAATTAAAAAGGATTGTTATTTATTATAATCAAATAATGTAAGTAAAAAAAAACTGATAATAGAATGTATTTTGTGTATTGTTAATTTTTATATCCTCCGTGGTTGTTGTAAAAAACACAGATGAAAAAAATCAAAGATAAAATAAATTTAATTCATTAAAAGTCGAGTGATAAAAAGTTATAAAGATTAATTTAACAATAAACGCGTTTTTATTTCGATAAAATAACTTTTGGAGGAAAAAAATAAGAGTATTTAAATCACCGCACTCGTTTTTCAAAAATATTAGTGTTTTCTATAGGTTTTGTTAAACGAATATTTTTAGAATTTTAATTTATAAAAATATGTATAACAATAAAAAAAATTATCAACGCGATGATCAAACGTCCGCATAGCAATGTCCATCGTGCTGATATTTATATTAGAATAGAAAAAAAAATTAACTTTGAATTATAAATTATAACTTGAGTAGTTTGACTTACCAAAAAATCTGTATTGTCGAAATGAAATGATTTTCCAAAACTGCAACACGGCACACCTGTTGAGCCTGATGGCATGTAGTGATAACACTTTCGCGTTTCTTGTCGATGGCATAGACAAGTACTTCTTGGTCGGTGGTTTGCTGGCGAATGATTCACAAGCAGGTTACTTAAAGGTTAATATATATTACCGGCCAACGGCCCTTGTACAGTTTGCAAATTCTTCAAAAAGGGCCCTGGTAGTGGTAATTTTTGTTATCCGACAATTTATACACAAAGGTTTGCTGTCTATTGTAGTTATGAAAAAAAAAAGGTCTATACCTAACGCGACGGCCGGGTCGTACCTATACCCGTCGAATCGCACAAAGGCCTAACCTATGTCTACCTACACACGGGTCCTAAGTACATATGTCGTAGTTTAACTTACCTCACACATTAACCCATAATGTCATCGTTCAAATCTGCACACTTTGATTTTACTACCTCTTAAACCTGTGTAGCTAAATGTTTAAAACACTATTCGTTTATCACACTTTTACTTTCACGTTGAAGTAATATAATTTTGGTGATAAATACTTGGTATGCTCATAACTTTTGTTTAGTTCTATTAATAAAGTTAAAAATCAGATTAAATAAATAAACAGTTTATTTTTGTTGAAGTAAATTCGGTTATTCGAATAATGGATTATATTTTTTTTTCAATTGAATAATGCCCAACTCTGTCGAAACCGAAATTTACATTTTCAGTATTTTATTATGGGCAAGTTTTTTTAATTATCGCATTATTTTTTTTTTTTTGGTGTTTAAACTAGCTAAAGCTTATTAAAAATATTTCAATAATTAATGAAACAAGTACGGGTACAGACAGCAAAAAAACACTGTTTTTTTTTTGCAAAATCTACATACAACGTTTATTCAAGTTCAATATAATTCCAGTGCTTGGTCGTAACGAGTTATGTTAGTTTTATTCCAAAAATGAGGTTTTACTCGTTTTGATACATTAATGTAATTTTTTTCTACTTATTTGTATTTGGACGGATTGAGTCTTACGTAAAATCCCATTAAGTAAAATTGAAACGAGCTATGTAAATTTTTATTTTTTTTTATTTAGTACTATAAATAATAGTTAAGTACACAAAAATCATAAAAGTATTAAAAATATTTTGTACCTTTTTTAAAAATGTTACAGTCATATAAATAATAAGGTCAGGTTAGTCTGTGCACTCATGGACCATTGGCCATTGCTAATCATGACTGTCTAAAATTTAATTTAATTTTACTTGGAAACATAGATATTTGTGCAATATATCCTCTCTTGGGAACCGGTGTGGTTTGATTGTATTTTTTAAAATTATTATTTGCTCTTGTGTTTTCCGTTGCTCTGTCGCGTTTGAAAGCTGAACGTTAATATGTAATTTTTATTGTTGGTGGTTGTAATAACCACAAGGTATGGCCGGAAATAAAATTTCATACCATAAAAAAAAAGGTTGACGTTATTTGTAAATAACGATAATTACATACGGCAAACTTGTCGATTCCAAGTTTGAAATTAAAAAAAAAATGATTATTATAAATGAACATGTTAGTTTACAGCGTGAACCCCTGAAGTGAGCATAGCCAGCTTGTCACCCAATACAGAAGTATTATATGCATCAATTAATAGGTTTTATTTGTATTTAAATGGCAAACAAACCAAATTTTCATTCAATTATAATTTTTATTTCAGTATAAAATTTAGCGGTGTTTTATGTGAGGGCTGTGTTTTGAATTTATTCAGTTTGTGCTCTCTTTTAATGTTCCACTAAAAATGAGAACAACGGTTTTACAATTTGGTCTAATGTTGATTCAATTCGCACATTAAGACTAACAGAGATCCAAAAGATAAATACATCTCAGCCGGCTTATCAGCCTGGATATTAAAATGTTGTCTTTGGATGAGTTACTTTACTTGACTCTTCCACTTGTGCAATCGGCCTTCATTTGGGTAGGGTTTCTGAGTTAAAGTACTACGAGCTATTTAAATTATATGTGTATATAAGTATATATGTTTTCAGTTTCATAT